ACGAACGTGATAAAAATCTGACCCCAAAATAGTGTTATCCTAACCCACCAGGGTATTAAAGGACCAGCTAAAAATCAGTCCAGGACTGTACAGACCTACCCAGTGAACCTCTCCTCACCTTCAGATCTGGAAACATCTCCTGTTCTGCAGGAGAAAGCGTTAATGAGCAGGACAGCTCCTCGGGAACAAAACAGCCACACATATTAAAAGGTGATCCACAGAGAACTACAGGATACCCCTTAAGGGCTGACAGTTGCTAGTGTTTTAACTAAGTTACATCTTACATGTCCATAAGTTCCACCACACACAAACAGCTCCATGAACTTTCCTTAGGTGATGCCCAGCTCCTCAGGGCTGCAGCACCTCTCCTGAAATGCTCTAAATTGAGACCTTCACAATAATTTGAAGGCAAATAGAACGATGAAATCTTGATAATTGTGAAGACCACAAGCATCTTACAGCTGAGATGGTTTGCCCTGTGTGGTGGCACACCACAGTGTGACCTTTAATTAATATATTATGGCTTTTTTTTTTATAAATCCCTACCATCAGACACCCTTTCCCACTGATATGGGAAAAGGTAAAATCCTTTTGTCCAGAGACTCGGTGAATTGCAGGGAACACATACAAGTAACTGCAAACTGTGAGAATATTTTAGGTGATGACAATGCAAAAACCCCAAATACTACAGGACTGAAAATACAGGGACTGGTGGAGTAGGGCTCATTAGCACTACAGAGAGGGCAAAACAAGAGCTGAAACTGTACACTGGCTTTCCAGGCAACCTCACCTTTTTTCAAAAAGTAAGCACACCTAAAGAAAGGAAAACAAAAGCTTTGTGAAAGACTTAATGTTACACCTAAATTCTTCAGAAAATGGTGATGACCAAAGAGATTAAAATAAAACTTCTGACTCAATACATCTTAGCACAGATGTTCAGGTATTTCTCATAAATTAGGCTTTCCCCTTCCAAGCAAATTCTACTACAAACACTTGTGATCCTGTGTTTGACTGGAAATTGCATTTGCTCAGGAAATGGAGTAGCCAATACACCACTCCAATAATCTGTTAATTGTGGACAAGTTAATCTGTGGGCAAGTCCTATCTATCAAACCTCTAGTGGGAAAACAAGACACAAGTGGAAAATTGATGCTGTTGCCTGCCATTTAAATATAGTTTTTATTTAAAACCCATTAAAATATAGTTTTTATTAAAATACAGCACCTTTCTCATGAAAGGTGTCACTTCTGCTACTGCTGTAACATCTGCAGCACAGCAGAGATTTTCTTTTCTTTAGATTCACCCAAGCAGTTAACAACAACTTACAGCCAAATAAAGTTTCTCAGTTAGGACAAAAAACCTGCACGAGTAGAAACGTGCAGCATCTCCAAGAAGAAAACTGAAATTCTTTCGTTCTGGCTGGAACAAAGTTACTGGTTAATGAGTAGAAATCCCAGCTCACATGTGGCACAGCAGGCACTCTGAAGCAACCCACATCTTGTCTGCTGTGCTCTCCTCCCAGGTGCAGAGCTCAGAGCACATCTCCCTGCAGTGAGCGGGGAAGGCTCTGCTTTAAGGCTCTGCTTTACGAGCAGCTGCCGCCAAGCAGCACAGCCAGGAAGCAAAGCTGCACTCGAGTGAGCTGGAGAACAGCATTATAAATAGTATTATAAAGGGGAGGGGAAGCAAAGCAACTTCACACACTTCATCAGTGACCGGTGTTTAAACGGCGAGACAGAGTATCCGAGAACTGATGTTCTTTCAAGTAAGGGAGAGCAGAGCTGTATAAACATCTTGAGGAACAAGTGAGAACCGAGGACATTCATCTTGCTGTGAGAAGGACACAAAATGAATCGTGCAAAGAGAGCTGTTCACACGGCTTTTAATGAAACAAAAGGGCTTTGGATAAAATTAGGTTTTAAGACGTGCTGAAGTCCACACACACACAGAGCTCAGCCTGAAGTTCATACAGCATCAGTATAAAACCGAAATAAAAATTAAAGAACTTCATTAACCACAATAAAACCAGCCTAAGTAATTAATGATACCGGAGATCCAAGGTGAAAACACAGCTCTCCATATAATTGCAGGGTTTCATCATGTAAGATTTCAGGCAATACATTAGACTACTACACTGTCTACCTCTGAATTTCTTAACAACACCTATTCACTTATTCTTCAACCAAAAAAAAAACCAAACCTGGACACTGGCTGACAACACAAAGGATCATGAAGCCTTTCATGGCTCAGTCCTCCAGAAATGGGACATACACTGAGTCTGACACACCCCACACACATCCACAGTCACAGTGAAATACAATGTTCTATGATTTTTATGATCTGGGGACCTATTCTTAGTGCTGTTTTTTCTTTTGCCATGACAAACCTGAAAAATTGCTCAAATACACAATTAAATTTGCTGCAGGTCAAAGACAGCACAGAATGTTGAAGCTATCTCAAAAAAAATGTTAAACTTGGGTTTAAAATGAGTAGAAACATTAAGTGAACACTAAGCTATCCAATTCTTGGATTAATGAAGACAGGGTATCCACCAGAGGCCTACCCACCCCTTGTGAACATCAGATGCATCAAATTAAAAGGCAAATTAAGCATACAAAAAACCCCTTCAGTTAAGAAATACCAGACTGAAAAACCTCAAGCCTATGAAGTATGTATTTTCAGAATCCCAACTCTCACAAGGGTGTTGTTCCTTCCAAAATTCAATCATTTAAGCAGCAATTCTAGCAGATGCTGCATTGGTAGCTTTGTCAATGTGTGTACAAAACTGCTTAGGCACAATAGTGACATACTTTAAATCCGGATAAACTATTTGGGGCCATCATTTGCTTGGCCAAACACTGAAGCAGAATTCCAGAATAAAAATATTCTAGTGTTGGTAAGTTTTATCTACATTCTAGATCTCAAACTAATGCCTAAGATAATAATTAACTGACAGCTCCCCCCATAGCCTTTTTTTATTCATATAATTAAAAACATGCCTTGCTGGCATAAATCCAGTGATGAACAAACACACATTATGCACTGCCTCAAGAATCAAAGCTCATAAAACAATGTTGCACAGAGCTACAAAAAATCACATGGTCTTAAGAGACTGCTCGAGCCTATGAAAGAAACTCTTAATAAAGCCAAATGACAAAAATCTAGAGAACAAAATCTCAGACAATTGACATGAAACACTGAACTGTTTCCGTTGATAACGTCAGAAACCCTCTCCCATTCTGCCCAGACCGTGGGAGTGGCTCCCTTTCAGAGAAGTTCAGTTCTGTGCAGAGCAAGCCCTGCATTCATGTGTGATTTACCCAGCAAGGTCTGATTACAACCAGGAATCTGTGATTTGTTCATACCAGACTATAACATTATTCCCACTTCTCAGTTTGTCCACCTCCAGCCTCATTCAGAAGATTTCTCCCAAACGTTTCAGTGAGGCACTCTAAATTGACTGTAAACACACATAAAAGAGGGAGTGGCATTCACTAATGAGGCTCATGTTCTATTTTAATACACAGCACATCTACCACGCTCTTACATGATTAAGGCAACACAAGAAAATGGATGAAGTAGTTCAGTACTTCAAGGATTCATTCAGAGAAAACAAAGTTAAAAAAATCATAGGAGTAAATAAAATTAGTTTTGAACTGGCAAGAAGAGAGACTTCAGTCTTCTTACACATTACAAGAAAAATTCCTCATTCAATTGTGAGCCAGAATCAATATTTTTCAGTAAGAGCCAGATTCAATTCAGCTTCCTTAGCAAAGCAGTCAGTACCCAGACAGCCAGCTTCACTCCTTCTCCCCCAATTTGTCAAACTTCTGCAAGCCTCACAGGACTAAATGGAAAACAATTTTTTCCAAAAAAACTCATTAACTTGAATTCCAAATACCATAACTGCCCTCAGGAATTTTTTTTTCTTCCAATCAACTTTTCCCACTATAGGAAATATTTATCTTCCACCTAGAAGTATTTAAAAGACCCAATATGCCACTAAACCTGAATAGGCTTCAAGTATTTCCTCCAGCCTGGTAGGTTTGGTAGCATTAGCTGTTTCTTGTTATAATGGTAAGAAAAAAAATTCAGGCAAATGAAGAATTTTGTAGTCCTTTAAAAGTCTTTAAAATCAAAAAATTATACAGAAATTAGCCTGGAAGAGAAAGGCTGTGAGGGCTTAAGTGCTGGTCCAAACCCACTGAGGTCTGCAGAAAGTCTCCTATCGAATTCAGTGATCTTTGGATTAGTCCCAAAGCACCTACAATAGCATAGATAAGAGGCAGTGTCTACTTTTTAAAGGTATGTTTTTCCTGTAAAACAAAACCAGCTGTAAGTGATTTCAGTAACTTTAGTCTGATGAGACAAAGCAAGGTTTCTGACTTTAAATCTAATACAGCTTCACAGTAACCATCACTGTCACCAGGGAATTCTAGCTTTCAATATCAGTCTATGGGACAACCACCCCAGAAAAGAGAGATTCAGAAATCAATTCTGAAAGTGATGCTGCTTCTGTGTTAGAGCTCATGGTGAAACTGAGAAAGAGATTCATCCCACTAAGAGCACACTGACTGCTGGCTTTATCAACAGGCAGCCAAAGACACAATGAAATAACCTGTTGAAAGTGCAAATTTAGCCTACCACAATTCATTGGACAAAGTCTAATTTCTGAACCACTTTAGAAGCAGCTGCACAACACCAAATCTAAATTGTTCCCCAAAATTTTATCCCAGCGTGGCAGCAGAACTAAAGTTCTGTTCTTCAAAATAATAAAAAGCCACCAGTACTGGCCACGTTTCCCTGCAGAAACATCAAGATGCTTCAAAACAGAGCGACACCAGATTTCATCCTGCCAGCTCTCACTCGCACTCCCGTCACTACCTACCTGTGTGGGGACGTGAAACACCAGGAATTCTGCACAACACCTGCGGTCCACACTAACAACATCGGCAGCACGGCACACAAATTTCCTTCAGTCACAACGATTTCCCTCTTACCTTGCCTCCTTCTCTTTCAAAGTCGACATATTCCCGGGTCGGTGTCTGCCGCTGCTCCCCCTGCCAGCTGGCCGGAAAAAACTGGAGAGACAGATTGGTTCCTGTGGCCACAAAAGCCTTTTAGAAAAATCAATACAAACAGGATCAGGGAGCAAGACATTACATAAATTATGCAGGCAGTCATTTATTTTTACATCAGTTTATGTCTTAAGCCAGGCAGCAGAGAGAATACTTAAAGTCAAAAACATGCACTCATCATTTTTCTTAAGTATTAAGTTACAAACATCTGATTCCATTTTGACAACATTTGCCATTGGCTGCTTCGGATATAAAATACAACATGGAATCAATACTTCTTTCAAATCAGTTTTGCTGACATTAGAATCTGTCCTTTCAGTTCTGTCTGGATACCCTGCACCAACTTAGTACCTGCAACGCTAAAAACTGCCCATGATTTTAGAGAGGTTGCCTATCTCTCAAAGAAGTACTGCTGAGGGAAAATTAACTCCCGAGACCTGAGACTAAGGAGCAACTGTTTTCAAAAGAAAATTACTTGTCTCCTTTCACAGTCTACTTACACCTAGAGAAACACTTCACTGAAACGTAAAAACTCCTATTTGATCATCTCCTGGCACGGCTCAGTCAAACCTCACAGGACCAAGTCCTCGTGCCACACTGAGGCACCCGTGAATTCCAGACCAGCAGATGCTGGCAGGGAGAACAGGCAACTGTAGGAATTCTCAGCTGCAGCCCTTTGTGAAATGATTAAAGGGACTGACTTAATCGTAATAGAAAAAGCACACGTTGCTTTCAAGCAAATAATTTTCTACGATTTCAAATGAAAATAGGCTTCAGTTTTCTTTATAGTTCTCTGTATTTATTTGCATATCTTAACTCCAAGCCATAAAGAGTACATCAATTTACAGACATGATATGAAAAATTATTTTTGCAAGCAGAAGTTGGATTTGCAGTATTCATACTCTCCTCTGGTACAGGTGAGCACATTGTCCCCTAAGAACCAGAATACTCACACATGCTCCCAGAATATCACTCTACTCAAAATCCCAGGGTTAAATGTAATTTGTTGCAATCAAACAACTGTATTGATTACCATGATCACTTAGATTTAAATGGTCATTAATCTAGAACGTAGTTCTTCTTAAAAGCTATACAACTACTACCCTAATAGCTGGAATTTCCTGAGAAGCAGATTTCTTTCAAGCAACCCAGAATTCAGGAACTTTATGGCATAACTGTACTGCTACCTACGACACAATAGCTCTACATGTTATTTAAGATAGTTCCAGTCATGGGCTGCAATGCTGTCTGCCACAGGATTAATACCTCCCACTTTGAAAGTAGCAGTGCTTTGTCTTGACTCTTTCCCCTCTGCCAAGGGAGGCTCATGCTCTGTAAGCAGGTTCCATTCCGGGCTATCCTCAATAACAGAGTTTGTAAGTTTTCTTTGCCTGTTTGTTTTTTGTTTTAAACCTCCTGTAAGCATTTTCTCAATGTCATTGAAATTAACAAATCGGTCCCAGTAATACCAGGGGGAACACTGTACTGGTAAATTAATATTTGTTTGCCCTACCATACTCAAAGACAAACATTTCAGTCAACCAAACAGAAGCTTTATCAAGGATACACTTGTATAAATAGGAGGCATCCAAACTGCCAGGGCTGCAGACCATCACTATCAGCCTGACTACCCTGTGCTGTCCCTTGGCCCCTCTGAGGGATTCTATTTACCTACCAACAAAATATTATCTCCAAATACTTGTGACTGTAAGTCTTCACCACTTGGTCTGTTCAAGAACTACCTTCCTACCTCCGAGCATCTTTAGCAAATACGTGTTTTATGTTCCTCAATTTATGCACTTAAAATGCCAAAGAGTGAGATCTTTTGAGTGTAAACCAGCTGAGCACTGCAGCCCTACAGAGCACCCCAGTCCTGGTGCTGGCTCAGAAGGATTATTCTTGCCTTCTGGGAAAGCCAGCCAAGTGCCCCTGCCTCCCTGCTCCCACCCCTGTGTGTGCTAGAGGGCCAGGAAAAACCATTGAAAAAGAAGAGAAAAAAAAGAAAACAAAAGTACACAAATTCCACCTCCTCGTGGAGTCATGCAGGCAACATTTAAACCATAGGGTATTTAAAAAGCTACGTAGATATTTTTTCTCTGGATTTTTGAAGCCTGTTCCCTCCCTTGGAACAGATAAAACCATCCAGTTAAAATACTCATGGGCTTCTCAAATCAAATCATAGGCCAGTACTGAAAAACTTGAGAACAGACTCTCTTCTAACCACACAGGACTACATGGAACCCAACATTTTTCGAGTAACAAGCAAATTAAACTAAAAAAAAAAAAAAAAAGTCACACCACTAGTTTAGTTTTAAACTTGAAAGTAGGAAAATTATAATTTTCTATGCAGAGCCTTTTAAAGCCCAGTTTGAAAAGCTATCAGACATTTAAGTCCCAAATTTTGCAAAAAGCTTATCAGGTACTACAAGGGTGACCTGACCCACATGTAGACAACGTAAATACAAGCCCCTTCCAAGACAAACCAAACATGTGAAGGTATTTTCAAGTTATCAAAGCATTACCAGCAAACATGAAATCTTATTTAATATATTTCACAGTTACTTCTCATAACACTGGTAATTACTTTTTTTATTCAATCAAGAGCTATTTGACAGACACAGCCAACACCACGCTGCCGGTTCTACATTAAATCCCTAAGCTGTTCTCTCTGCTTTTTTGTCTGCTTAAAAATATGTAAGGTCATTTGCAAAGGCTCCCTTTGGAGATAAAAGAATAAATCCTTGATGTCTGGAAAAGCATTCAAGACTAAAAAAAAAAAAAATAGTAAAATTACTAGCTCTTTTTAACATCAGTCATTACACACATTACATTTCTAAATAAACCTGACTACTCGCGCCCTGTTCACAAAACAAAACCAGATGTTTCAGATCAAGAAATATAGAGCCTGTTTTATAATTAAGTAGAAGTGAAAATATGTAGAACAGCCATCACTGGTTGCTTCCAAAGGCTGGAGCTGTGGTAGAAAAAGACAGCAGCAGGCTTAGAAGCACAAAGGTGAAACTACAGTGATTTCCTACTTATACAAATAGCTGCATAGGCTGCATTAGCAAGCTGATTTATAAGCTACATGGGTTTTTTGGTGTTTTTTGTTTTTTTTTTTTTTTAGGGAGGGATTCGAGTATATTATGCACTTTCACCTGTGCAGGAATTTCCAATGCTAGCCAACTATGTCTTCCTTACCTACCTATTGTTTCCCTGGTGACTTCTTAAAGGAAGCAAACATGCACTACGAAAATTGAACGTAAAACAAACAGTAAAATTAAGAACCTGTCCACAGAGGGCCTCTCACAAGATAATATTACAGGTTCTAAGACCAGCGGTAACAAGCAGGGTTAAGATTCAGCTAAAATAAAGTTACTCAGTAAAAGGTAATCATGTTCCTGAGTGTGTATCCTTTTACTGACAAATGCAAGTGATGAGATCAGCTAAAGTAATGGGTATTTAACTATTTTTGTTTGGAGTACAAGAGTATTTTCATTGCACGTAAAAATAATTTCATTGTGAATTGACTAGCAATACATATTCCATGTGAAATTAAAGAATGCTCATAAACCAAACTTGGTGAAAGTGGGGTTTATTTTCTATTTTACCTTGTCTTTCACTATATACTATAAATGAAAAAGAGGTTGCTTCTGCATTTTAATAGACAAGAGTTACAAACTTGACAATGCTATGAGCTACTGATCCTATAGAAGCAACCTACAGCAGATCAAATCAGGAAATACCGAGTCAGTTCTTGACTACTCCGAGCCATACTTCATCTCACTTCTTAATTCAGAAGAGAGCAGTCTGTAACTAACCTTAATGAATGAGAGAAACGGGGCTGAAGTTGCAAGTTTCCAAGCCTAATTCTAAAGGCATTTGATTTAGCTCACAAATACATCAAACAGCTCACCCAAGGCTTTTAGACAGCGCCTTCTGAACAATGTTACTCATTTCTGAAGGCTACTGTTTCCGGAGAGGGAAAAAAAAAAAAAAAAAAAAAAGAGAGAGGGCAAAAAAGCTGAATGTCGAAGTAAGCAGCTCGTAGCTGCAGCACGTGCCCAGGGAAGGAGCACAGCCCGTCCGCACTGCCGGGGGATCTCCCTCCCTCCCCTGTCACCCCGGCGCTCCGGACGCGCTCCGTCCCCGCCGCGGAGCGAGCCGGCACCGCGGAGCGGAGCTGCTGCCGAGGCGGACACGAACGCTGCCTGCCAACGAACCCCTCCTGCCCCTCGCTGTTTGAAAGGCGGCCGGTGTCACCCCGCTCCTGGAGGAAAACTTTCCCCCCCCGTCCCGTCCCGACCCCTCCGGCCCGGGCCCCGCGCAGCCCCCGCCCCGAAGGCTCCCCAACTTCGGGCGAGCGGGGCCGGGCGCGGAGCGGCGGCGGGGCCCGGCCGGGCAGCGCGGCGCCACTTACGATCTCGGAGCGGCCGTCGCGGCAGGCGTTCTGGAAGCGGGCCTGCCTCTCCTCGTGCGGCCGGTCCCTGAAGCCGGTGTACTTAATCTGCGGGGAACAGGGCGCGCAATCAGAGGGGCCAACCCCGGCGATAAGGGGGCAGCGGAGTGCACTGACTGCGCGTCCCCGCCCGGCTCCGCCGAGCCCCGGGGCTGCCCCGGCCCCTCCGCGGCCCGCGGAAACTTTCCCCGAGCAGGGAGGGAGGGAGGGAAGGGGGAGCCCCGCCGCCGCCTCACCTCGCACTCGCGGCTCAGCTTCCTGAAGAACTCCTCGTTCTCGAACTTGCTCCGCTGGTCGGGGACAACCCGCGGCATGGTGGTGGGGCCGCCGCCGCCGCCGGCTGCCCTCCTTCCTCTCCCTCCCTCCCTCCCGCCCGCCCCGCGCTGTCCCAGCCCCAGCGCTCGCCTCGCCCTTTGTTAGCCCCCGCCGGCGGCGCCCCCGCTCCCCTCCTCCCGTGCCTCCTCCTCCTCCTCCTCCCGCGGCGCACGCGGAGCAGCCGCAGCCGCCGCCGGAGCCCGACGCTGCCGGAGCCCGACGCCGCCGCTCCCGCCCCCCGCCCGCTCCCTCCCTCCCTCCCCGCGCTCCGACTTCCTCCCGCTCCGGACTCGGCCCGAACAGCCGCGCCATTCACAACTCCGCGCCGCCGCCGCGCATGCGCCCCGCGGCCGGGCGGGGGGCGAGGGGCGGTGAGGGGCCCCCTCAGAGCCCGGGCGGGTCTCAGCTGAGGCTTCCACCCCGCGGCGCTGCCCCGCTCCCTGCCCCGAGGGGAGCGGCCGCATCCCGCGCCCCGGGGGCGATGGGGCGCGCCCCCCTCCCGGCGGGGACCCGGCCGGGCCCCGCACCTGCCGCGGCGTGAGGGCGGGCGGTGGGCGCGCTGTGTCCCCCCCGCCGGGGCGGCCGTGAGGATGGGGCAGGTGGGGAAGGACAGCGCTGGCTCCGCACCGGCCTCCTCTGGCTCCCTCCCTCGGGTCAGCGAGGGCCGGCCCTGGGGGCAGCATAAAGCCTAGCAGACCCCCAGCGTGGTCCCAGAGCCCCAAGGATAGTCCCTGCACCCCAAGGGTGGTCCCTGAGCCCCAAGGGTGGTCCCTGAGCCCCAAGGGTGGTCCCTGACCCCAGGGATGGTCCCTGACCCCAGGGATGGTCCTTGCACCCCAGGGATGGTCCCTGAGCCCCAAGGGTGGTCCCTGACCCCAGGGATGGTCCCTGAGCCCCAAGGGTGGTCTCTGAGCCCAGGGATGGTCCCTGAGCCCCAAGAGTGGTCCCAGAGCCCCAGGGATGGTCCCAGAGCTCCAGGGATGGTCCCAGAGCCCCAGGGGTGATCCCTGACCCCACTGCTGTCAGAGGACACAGACTGCTCTCCGGCTGCCACCCCAAACACGGTGCCCCAGCCCCTTTGCCTGCCCGGTGGCCACTGTGGAGCCACACACTGGGTTGTTCCCGAGGGGAGCAGGAGCACCCACTGCCACCTCAGGAAGCCCAGCAGGGCTGCTCGCTGTCTTTGAAGTCGTGGTGTCAGCTCAGAGAAAAAAAAAACAGCACTTTGCTTCCCCAGCTCTTGGAAAGCTCACTTTCATGATAAAAACACAGCAGCCTGAACTTTTGATTCTTCATCTTCACAAATATCCATTTTACTGCAGCTAATTCAATCATGAAGCACAGCAGGACATACATCACGTGTCCCTAAATCCATTTTTTCATACATACCCCGGTTATACCCCAATAGCTCATTGCAGCTACAACTTCCTTGTGAAGGGAAGTGGAGGGGCAAGCAGTGATCTCTGTGGTGACCAGTGAGAGGACCAAGGGGAACGGCCTTACGCTGTGTCAGGGAGGTTTAGGTTGGATCTCAGGAAAAGGTTCTTCCCCTAGAGGGTGGTCGGGCACTACCCAGGCTCCCCAGGGCAGTGGGCACAGCACCAAGGCTGCCAGAGCTCCAGGAGGGTTTGGACAATGCTCAGCCACTGAGATAGGCACAATTCCTGGGGATGTCCCACGCAGGGGTAAGAGTTGGACTCAGTGATCCTTGTGGGTCCGTTCCAACTCAGATTTTTTTCCCTGCAATCACTCCTCTGGGTTTTTAACAGCTCTGAAGCATCATAAGAATGGCTGCACGAGCCAAAAAACTGTTGGATTATTGCAATACCTATTGCCAACATAAAAATATTAGAGTGTATTAGATCTTTTGATAAAGAAATGAGGCTTTCTAATCTCTCAGTATTACAATCTTAACTTTACACGTAGTCATGCAAATTGAAGAGGGCAATGCTAAGGTTAGCCAGAAGGCATGATTTGAATGAAGTATGAGCAAATTAATTAAAAAAATGAGGGAAGTATCTGTATCCCCTAACTAATTATATACAGACTTCATAAAAACAAACTTTAGACTTTTTTTCTAAATGTAGAAAATATGCTTAATACATTTCTGATCAATAGGAACTGCAGATTTAGGCAATAACTCTGTACGTGTTCAAGCTGTATCTTCTGATTTTTGGTATGTTACTGTAATGCAGATATATGGGTAAATTCAGAAGTTAAAAGCACTAAAAGAACTGTTATAAAAGGTTTTTTCGATAGTAACCAAATCTGAAAAGAAAATACACTGAGATTGAAAACATAAAATGTTATGTATTATCTTGATTCATTTAGATTAATACCAACCCTTAAGCAAAATTCTCGTGAATGTCAGGCACATTTAAAAGGTCCCAAAATAAGACATTTAAAAAAAAATCCATATCACTATTCATCTTACAACGAGATCAATACCAAGAGCATAGGCCTGCAGGAGAACTGCCAAGTTCATAAGGCAGAAATCTGCTCTCTTAACCTCCAATAATCTTTCACTACTTGCTAGTACCTCAACCAGTTCCACCTCCTCACCCCCCAAAACTGACTCTGCCTTCTTCCAAACTACAGTTTGCAAGAAAAATTACCGAAGTCAAAAGCAAGACGAGTGGTTGTAAAGCCCTGGAATGAAAACAGGAGACAATATCACCCAGCAAGTTTGGTGTTCTGACCTTGGCATATATTTTTCAAGTCTTTGGAAACAAGATGAAGTTTGTCTGCTTTCCCCCATGCAGCTCTTTGTTTAACATTTGTCATCCCACAGTTTTCATCTTTCCAAAAATTTTTATTTTAAATAAGGTGAGTCACTATTATCAGAAAGTCTCATAAAGTAAGAGATCAGACACTGCCTCTGTTTGTTGCCTCAGTTAGGCTGATGCAGAAACAGGATAGCTGGAATGGGTCAGATTGAACAGGGTGGCACAGGATCATATTATTCTTCTGAATTCATCCACTTTCTCTACAGTAAGCTGACCCTCACAAAACAAAAAGAGCTTTTGCTCTGAAGAATACCCTTTTAGCAAAGGGAACTGATTTCTGTATATTGTAACAGATATATCTGTGAGGAAACTATTATTTTAGGCCTGTTTTCCCATCCAGGAAAGCTACAAAATCACACCAAATCCTCCTTTCTCTGCCCCACGCAGCCCCCAGCGTTTCACAAGGCAATTCAGGCCTTAAACACAGAGAAGTTCCTATTGTTTTGTTCCCAGCTAGACAGAGGAGAGGCACACAAATTAGTGTCTTTGCTGCAAGAAAGGCTAGATCATAATTTGCACAGTTATTTACCCTGTTTGGCCAGAGTGGCTGGCCAGCGGCCAGACAGTCAGCACAGATCAGAGGCAGCTCTGCAGGTGGCACTGGGGGACACGAGAGGGAAGGCCGAGGTTATCGTGCTGGGGGTGGGATACAATCTCATGGGAATTCTGCAGCTCACCAAACATTTTTAGTTTTTTTTTTTTTTTTGCTTTTAGCACTATATCATCAACACCCCAAAACAAGCTAGAACCTTTTTCCTTGTGCATAACCAAATGGGACTGCTTCCCAAAGGCAGCTGGGGGATATCTCTGCAAACCATTTCGGTGCGGTTCGGGCTGCTCGGATGTTGGGAGACTCAGCTCAGCCTGCAAATCACTGGGCTTTGATTCACGAGAACTTGGGCTATTCATCAGTCCTCTGGGTGAGTCACCTCCAGAAAACAGAAATGGTCAAGCTTGTAGGCACGCTGCTTTCAGAGCGAATTCTCAGAACAGACCCCTTTCCAAAATAAGATCTAACATGTTTACAGCACATTGATAATTGAGACAGAACGCTACCGAAAGATTTGCAGATGGAATGTTTTTGAGAAAGGGAGCTTTCTTCAAGTGCCAAGTCCTGTTATGTACTGTTCTTTCCAACCTTCCCTACCATGTCTTTAAAACCTCTGGTTTTCCCTAGGTAGCAGCATTTGATGAACAACTGCATGGCACCAGTGTTATATTGTTCTCTAGACTCCACGTGTGAGACAGTAATAAGCCAGACTCCTGTGTATCCATTGATCTATGGCAGCTGCAGTATAATCAAACACCAGCATTATGTATGTACAAGCTACTCTGTGATTATAGATCCATTAATAAACTGTTTGCAAGATATAATTATGCACATTAGGTGTGAAATGCAATCCACTTACGCAAGATCTGTGCTTATGGGCTCCACAAAATTCTGGGGGGAGGGGGAGAAACTGAGCAGATTAATTGACTTCTTTCCCCCAGACTAATTTAATTTCCCTACTACTGCAACTGATGCTCCCAGCCAGAATATCCTCACTGAAGTCACCCCCCTGGTGCTGTGGGTTATTGCTGATCTGCTCACAGGCCCAGAGTCACATGCAGAAACCATCCTAAAAGGCTGCAACTCGCCCCCGGAGCAGCCTTTCATGTCTAGCCCACAGACATCAGCACAAAGATCTATCTTATCTCAGGACTCCCAAAACAACCCAAATGAGGGATATGGGCAATGCAGAGGACCACGAGCTATCAGAATTGGTTTGTGCCTGTGGAAGCACTTCATGCAGAGATGGATGCAGGGACTCCAAAGGCAACAACGTGCAGCTTTCAGGACTTGGCCAAGTCCAGAGTTGATACCTAAACATCTTACTTAGCACACAGAGAGAGATAAGAGCCATACCACAACAGTTAAACAAAACAAGTGTATAATTTTGCATTCTGAGTGGGAAGCTGCCTAGCAGTTAAAAAACGCCAAGCACGGCAGGTATGAGGGAGGAAGCAGCACCTCCTGTCTCTGCTCTCGAAACCAGGCTACGAGACAGATGCAGCTCTTCGCTCCAGATACCAAAGCTGAAACCTTTTTCCCAAAAGAATATGCCTGCAGGTGCTACTTGAAATAAGTGAATGGGACTCTCCCTTATCAAAACATCTCTCCTGCCTGCCTTTGTTGTTCCCAAGCATTTGGAGTACTCAGCAAGGACACAGAAGACCCTTCCCACACTGAAGCTGTTGAAACCCAAATTCCCAGTCTCCACAGTGACCACCACAGTCACCATGACTCTCACACTGGAGAAGCTGTGTCCACATCTCTGCTTCAACATGGGTTACTACCACAGTGCAACAAAATACCTGGCTCTTCGTGCTCGGGCCTGAATTAAAAGCCAGTAAATACAGCCATCCTTTCTCAGCTGGGTGATTTGGACACCCTGGCCTCTTTCTGCTCATAAGCACTGGCAGTTTAACAGCATGCTTCACAAAGGAATAGCCTTTATTTCAACAAATTACATGTGCAGCTTATCCCACAAAAGCATGGGCTGTACTGCCTGACACTTGCATGCCAGCAACTAGTCATAAAAAGGTCATGGATGTGCAAATAGGAAAGTACAGTGTGATACCAGGTACAGGAGTCTGGTGCAACAAAGGTAGCCTCTGATCATTGAGCTTGGCACACAGCATCTTAATTAATTGAAAATCTCTTTAAATTCATTTAATTAACCAGTGGAATACAGATGTTTTTTTTCTAGAAAAACCAACATGAACTGAAACTCAAGGATGTTAGAACCAATTATTCCTCCAAATGATGTAATGGAGTGAACTACACAATTGTTAGAGAACCAAACCAGATTATCCCAGAAGGCTACTTGACTTACATACTGGTTATTTGGGACAATGGGACAATGATGATTATTGCAGTAGGTATACATTCTATGATTTTGTACTACCCTTGCATGTTTTGGCAATGGAACTATGAAGGTTTTATATTAACCCCCTTCTTTTTTTCATTTTACCAATTGCAGCACAAACTGTTAAAATAAATAGCTGAACTCAGAGTCTCCATTGTCTGGCAAACAGAGGCCAGGACTGGGTGCCTCTTCCAGCCTTGCCTATGGCCTGCTAAGTGATTTTGGGCACATGGCTTCACCTCTAATGCCTCAATTCACCCACTTATGAAGTGACTTGAGATCTCCAGATGAAGATCTTGAGATCCCTATGTAAAGAACTATCATTATCCTAATGTTGAGCAATGAGGAGAAAGTTTAACTGAGCACAAGCTGTGACTCACACAAGCCTAAATACATAAAAGGAAATGTTTAAAAACTGCCTTTGTGAAATTATGTCTGAAGATGCCATTATCAGTATACAGCCAGTGCTAATGGCAGGCATAGCTTTTTCTGTGTTATCCACTGTGCTATCAGCACACATTGTCTCCTCACACTGCATTTCACAATCCATTACAAACTTAGGATCATCCAATAGTTTGGATTGGAAGGGACCTTTAAAGGCCATCTAGTTCAACCCCCCTGCAATGAGCAGGGACATCTTCAACTAGACCAGGTTGCTCAGAACCCCATCCAACCTGACCTTGAATTTTTCCAGAAGTGAAGATCCATCATCCACCATCTCTCTGGACAACCTGTGCCAATACTCCCCACCTCATTGTAACAAATTTCTTCCTTATATCCAATCTGAATCGACCTTCTATTTGTTTAAATCCATTACCTCTCGCCCTATTGCAACAGGCCCTGCTAAAACATTTGTGCACAACTTTTTTATAAGCCCTTTAAGTACTGAAAGGCTGCAATAAGGTCTCCCTGGAGCCTTCTCTTCTTCAGGCTGAACAATCCCAGCTCCCAGCCTGTCTTCATTGGAGAGGTGCTCCAGCCTCTGATCATCTTCACATCCTCCTCTGGACTTGCTCCAAGCGGTCCGTGTCCTTCCTGTGCTGGGACCCCCAGAGCTGGACGTGGTAATCCAGGTGGGGTCTCACCAGAGCAGCAAAAAGGGACAAAATCGCCTCCCTTGAACTCCTTCCAAAGCACATGCATGGTTTCAGCGGGTGGCATGAGACAGTGGAGTGCCTTTTATACATTTTAAAAAACATCGAGCACAATCAGACATAAAAGGGCCAGACAAGAGCTGTAATCTTGTAGCTGTTCTGAAAGTCCCTGCAGATTTTCAGATCTCAAGGGCCTCCAGGAAGCAACATGAGAATGGACAGTGCAGGCAGTTTCAGTTCCTCAGGCCCAGCACAGGCCAGCTGTAGTATTTGGGCAGCTCAGAGTGGAAATGAACCTGCCCACCCAGGATATCTGAAATTTTCTTCCAGATGAAAGAATGAGGGTGACACTAACTGGCCACAAGCAGAGTCCCTGTCTAAAAGATAATCAAAATACACACATGCTCTAGTAGCCTCCACCAGCTGAACTGATCTGACAACCTAAATGCAACATCATCACTCTGGATTAATTATATTTGCTCCTCTTCTGTTTCCAGTCTTCAGGGGGTCTTGGGCTTTGGTTTTGTGCTGGGTTTCCCCCCTCCTGTTACACACACAGTGCTGTTGACATTGGTTGACATAAACGAAGGTGGTGGCTGATGTGAGAGAGGAGCTTGTGTCCTGCATCGTTATCTGGTCCTGCAGCCACCCCTCCTTGTTCCTGCATGAGCAGCACAGGCCATGGTGGGATTCCAAGCATGGAAACAAAGCACTTGTAGGGATGGCTGTTCGTGGGTTTAATTTGAGATCATGGGGCAGAAAGCTAAACAGTGACTCAAAGCCCCGTTCTGGTTTCACATGTGAATGTTTATCACTGAGCAAGCTGTGTTATAGTCTGTCATGCTTTTGATTATACTCAGTACAGCAGTTAGAGGTGATTCAGTCTTGGTACAGATAATGTCCAAGTGATTTTTTAGCTTCTAAAGAGATTACTCTTGCAGGCTTTGAGCTATAATTCTTTCCTCTTACAGCTCCAGTGATGGAAAGAAATTGCTTTTGTGAAGCTTTTTTTACCTCTGTTTCTAAAAGTTTTCCTGAAGATTCTGTAAGTCAGAGTTTGTCTCCTGTCAGTCATCCTAGTCGCTCACACTTCATCCACATGACCAACTTTAAATTTGCTTCATAAAAGGCAGCAAAATGTTGACTTTTAAACCATCGGATTATTCTAAAAATCTTGTTCTTACCTAAAGAATTAATTTAGTTCTCAAGCTGAACATTTCAGAACTGAGCAGAGGAGTTCTTCTGTCTTGTTACACACTAACCACATCAAAACTTCACATTTCCATACACCTCACACACCAGGCTGCCACGTCTCACTGTAACAAATGGATTGGCAGCTGGTTTACTGTGCTTTCAGAGAAATCAGGGGTCCACTCAGAACTCAGAGACTGGGAGACAAAGCTGTGAAGACTGTTGTCTGATTAGACATTCAAGGCTGGGGAGAGCTGCCACCGTTTACAGATGGATCACTGAGAGGTGAAGGCTCTTGCTGAGGCTGATCCTGGAAATTAGCAATATTTAAATTTACATCTCAAACCGAGTCCGCAAGGAAACATTCCTCGTTATCAGCACATTCCATCGTGGGCAGGTTTGGAGCACTCTGGCACAGGGGGTGTCCACCGACCGCTGCTTTCATTATGGAGCTCGTAAAGTTAAAAAAAAATCCCTGGCTGCTGCTTTGGGGTGCTGCTGCATCGTGCTGGTCTCCTGTCAGAAAGCAAAGCAGAGCCCATTTCTGGGGCGTGTGCTGCCGAGGGAGCTGCCTTTTCACCTGCTTTTCATACAGAGCCCTTATTGTTTTTGTTCGCATTGATCTTATCCTCGGAGAGCTTGGAAGGCATTTCAAAAAGGCAGGGTGGTGTTGACAGTAACTTTGTTTTCGTGCTTCTCCTCTGTTGCTGGAGCTATTTGTTTTCACTGACTAGGAATTAGGATGGCCCCAGCCTTCCACCCTGATCCAAACGGGCGTGCCCCGGGTCAAAACGAAGCTCATAGACTTTGCCCTGACTTCGTAAGGGCACCGAAATTTCCCCCATGCAGATTTGATTGCACGTTCCAGGTTGAAGGGTATATTTACAACAGCCTTCTTTATGTCCCGAGACAGATTCCTCAGCACGCTCTACCACAGGATTGTCCTATTAGATGTGGATTTTCCCCCTCTTCAAGTCTTTAGCATTGCAATTTGCTGCATTTCTGCAGCAAATTTCTCCCCCTGCTCAGAGCTGTGCTTACCAAGAGGAAGGAGACCAGCAAGACATCTACGAGCCAATGCTACAGAAGCAGCAAAAGAATCAAGGCACGAGAGTGGCAAAGGTTGTTCTTCACCTCTCAGTCACCTTTGTGGTCTCTGTTAGCAGTTCAGCCTTTGTAG